AAAAAATTCCCGAACTTTACCTATTTTTGGAAGACTCGGGGTGGTGTACTCTCCTGAAACATATTTGGTCCAGTATCTCGGAAATTATTAGAGATAGAGGAATAGTTTAAATATGGAAATTATGCGTTTCTCAGTGACAAATTCACCCACGTAATTAGTTTCTTCGAAAAATCTATTTATTTCAATAATTTTTGCATTGTAATAAACAGAATTATTACATTCCTAATTTACGTGCATTCCGTGCAAAATTTAGCGTTGGATTACTTATGGTCGTGAAAGTTACAAACTTTTTTGAGAATCTGAACGAATTTCATTAAATAAAATAAAAAATACAAATTATCATTTAATTTCACTCTTCTCCCTCAATACGAATATAACGCTTGATTCGATCAACTAAAGAAAAAAAGTCACATTTGCAATTACTCCAATTCACTGTAGCTTTTCGCGCTACATGACTACAGAACACTGGTAATTTACTTAAAATGTTTTTTCTCGTCGCTGACGGGTTTATCAAAGCATTTGTTAACCCGTAATCGTGCTCAGGAAGATCGGCTAAATTGCCAATGAAATTGCAAAAATAGTCGCGAGTGGACACACCCCGTTTAAGCGAGACAGTGTTTAGCATAACGTTAATTTAGACGAAGCCTGCAGCGAGACTGCGTGAAGTAATTACACCGGGGCTAATTAAGATACGCAGATAGTCCAATAATTTACAAATAATCTCGCGAATATCGTTAACGAAAGAGAACGAAATGCGAACACTTTTTGTTCGCGATTTTTCGCATTACCGCGAATATTTTCGTCGATAAGCGGCGTTTCGTGCTAGACGATACAGAATGCTGTTACACACACAAAAGTATCAAGAACATCATTTTAAAAATATCGTAACATACGAAGCGATTACAATGTGAGAAGGTGTATCGGAATTTCAAAATTAGCGAATATTCTGCGAATCGAAATTTTCGTATTTCTCAAAGCAAGCAAAGCGAATGTAACGAAATGAATTCAATAATAAATTAAGTTATTTTTCTTTTCTCCGTTTAAGGGAAAAAATGAATGCAAAAGTTTCTCGATAAATTAGCAATTTTTTCTACTTTAACTGCAAATTTCACTTCGTTTGTTTCAGTTTCTCTGCAAATTGCTCTCAATTTTTCTTATTCTACCTGCAAATTGCACTTATTTTTTGAAATTTTAACCGCAAATCGCATTCAACTTTCTCTTTCATTTGAACCGCAAGCCGTGCTTAATTTATTCCTCCTTATTACCGGAACCGCTAATACGAGATTTGAATTTCCAATACACGGAACGCGACATTTCTTGGTTAACATTTCGAATTCATCATTAGTGAATCGCGAAACTTAGTAACAGGTTTCTAGACGTTCGATGTGCCAGTTTTCAACGTGTGCCTCTCCACGCTGGCAAGAGTATAGCGTTCAACGTTATCCATAGTAGTCAAGCATATCTTGGGTACGCGGCACCGTGTAATTAAGTATCACGACATATACTACATAAATTACTCCCTTTAGCGCTTTAAATTACCGTGCAAGCATGCAAATTTTATATTAATCGTACTGGGTTTCGTAATTAATTGTTATTAGTAGTAAGTTACCGTTATCACGAATTCTCTTTGCTCACCTATCTTACGGATCACGGGAAATTTATCGCTGTTACATTCTATTATCGATAGTAATGTATTTGTCTACTTGTCGCCGAGTACAACAATGAATAATTGAAGTTGTTATCATTCTCAAGTGCTGATTAGTCGTACTTATGAGATTTCTTAAATGTTTCGCGTTGCCTCCGTGCATTTATCGATATCTTTAACTTAGAGTTACAATTGTGTACTTAATTAAACGTGCAACTTTTGAATGCAAAATGAAGTAATTGCAGAATTGCTAAATAATACAAAAAGTGCAGATTGTACAGATATGCGATAAATTAAGATAAAAACTAACAGCAAAATGAATGTATTTTATGTATTTTACATAAAAATTTGATAATTTAATAAATAGACGAGTGTACAAATAACATGCAATAAAGTAAGCAGGATATCGAGTTTTTTCAAAATAAAGATATTTCAGAACGTCATTCGGATAGATGTTTGCAGTCGAACATCTTTAAATATTAAAATCCAGGAATAGTTTGAAATGTGGATATTTTCAGTATCTACTGTAGCCTTTCAGTTCTTAATTCAACATACTCTAAACATACTATTCTACAAATAAAGCACCATACAATAATTTGATCGTCTAAAATTGAAAAATTTTTATAACATTTTTCAAACATCTTTCTTATAATTTTCATTCTTTGTTAAACTGACATTAATGAATTGCTTCACAAACACATTTCCAAAAATACTTCACAAAACTTCCAAGAAACTTCAATTCCCAACTAACCAGTGTTACATTCACAACACAAGTCACTATCACCGCTCAATTCTATCGCATAAAATCGACAACATTTTGCAATATTTTCGAAACATTCCATTTTCAACTTCAATTCTCCATTATGACATTAACGAATTGCCTCACAAACACTTTTCCAAAAATACTTCACCCAACTTCCAAAAAACCTTCATCCCCGATTAATCGCAACAAACACCCCGTTTAATGTCAATATCTCACAGATCCCCGCAGACAATTACAATCAACCGTTGTCACATCTCCCCTATCTCCTTATCACTAAAAACTCACGTAGCAAGATTAAAGAAAGCACCTGTGCGCACGTATGCAACACGTTCCCCCGTTTCATTCTTCAAAGCGATATCAACGAGACCTGTAGGTACAAGTGAACCTCTCTGAACGTGAACGGAAGTCGTGTTACCAGACCGGCTGGCATGTAACACGCTTCCGATACCAGGTAAATAAGCGTCGCAATACACGCGGAAGGAGAAACAAGACGGTCGCTCGTGTGTCTCTACGATTCGTGACTTCGTATAAAACCGGTGGCGACGAAGACGACGACCGCCGTCGTCGTGAGGTGATTCTCAACAACCATCCGTAGCTATGTTTTTGCCCGACAACGTTGCCTGGATACGTTGAAACGCCTAACTTCCGGCTATACGTCAACTCCGATGCTCCGTGTGAACGCGACTTACGTTTGCACGACAACCGGAAACCGAGCGAGAGTCGCAACCGGCGGAGAAGAACGATCTGATCGGTTCCGAGGGGAATCGCGGCGTTCCTTTTGCCCGAGATCGATCCGCACGCCCAACGGTTCGCCAGACTTTATCGACGTTAATTCTTTTTCAGATACACTCCGCGACGTGTCCTCTGTACACGTATTCCACGGAAATATTTTGTCGTTTGTAACTTTAATGATTCCGAGGCTGGGACTGGTACGGAAGTCGGATGGAAATTTACGACGGTGCGTCGCTTGAAATTCTCGGGGCTTTTATTGGCGCCCGGGAAAATGTTTGGATAAAAAAGAGTGTCGCGAAAAATAAATTTTTCTTTGTGCAGATGGATTTTTTCCCCTTGTTTGCGAAGTACGTAGATATTGTAGAGATAGATCGGAGGTAGTGTGTTTAGAAATGTTTACCTACTCCGTTGGAAAATGGTATAATTTGTGAAAGTGGTGCAATCTGCAAAAGGTATTTTTTTTCTGGTCAACAAATTTGTTAATTCAATTTATGTATGCAGCTGTGTAAGGAGCTTTTACAAGGCTGTCTATTATAGAGATTATTTTTTATGTTTGAGGGCAATTAACGAGGGACTAAAATGTGATGCGAACAAAAGATAATAGCGGTTAATGAGCACGTTTTTGCATTTACGGGGAGTTTCGTTTTCATTGCAATGGTAATGTTGCAAATGATAGCGTATAATACACAGGACACATCGAAATATGCAAAACGTATGCAAGATGGATAAAACATACATTGCACGATGTCATCTGGATTTATTCACAATTATTTAATCATTTTTTAATAATTTGATAGATAAGTATGCAGTGTGTTTCACCTAATTTGAGCACCTTAGATATCTCACTTATTCTTGGTGGCAAGAAAAAATGTCCGAGAAAAATATTATTTGTTTGAAGGAAGCAAGTATTACGATAAGCAATAAATTTTTCTTAAAATCACGTTTTTCCAAATTTCATAATCATCGATATCTTTTTAAACAGAACTACATAGTTGGACATTCGTCGTTCAATTTCTTAGAGCTATGAAAATTCCTCTCAATATATCGAAGATAATGTGCGATAAAATAAAATTTGTTCATTAAATGAACAAGATCTTCTTGGCTCTTTAAAATGCAGGATGGTACAATTTATTGCGTTCAACGTCGCAAATGAAATTATTATAAAATAAAATCAACGTTTAATGCAATTACTGTTAATGTTTTGCAAACGTTCGCATTAATTATTCGTATTTCATTGCACCATCACTGTGCTCTTATCATTAACGAAGAAAAAAATCGCACAAAGCTTTAATAGTACGTTTTACGCTAAAGCCACTTAACATTTACTGTGAGAGAAGCAAATTATAGGTATCTACATGGTTGTAACGCGTTCAAAGTAATAAAATATTATTACTAACGAGAGTGTATTTCCTCGTTATGATATTTATAATAAAGTATAAGCTATTAGCCAATATTCAAACTTGCAAAAAATCACTATTATTTTCTCGATTAATTTTTACATCATTTTTGCACAACATTCGTTCAATTTTATTTAACGCAACTTAATTTTGCATCAGCGACGAAGGAAAGATACACTTCGAAAGGAACTATGGAACAAATTTGAAACGCATTATCAATCAAACTCTCCAGTTCGAAATCTACTTGGTTAAAGATCCTCCGTTCGTCCAGAAATGGTAACGTGAAACGAGCGAAAGCTCGCAAAAGCAAGTTCTCAATATCAAATGAAACGTAGCGTGTTTCAGGAAGCAATATATCCTTTCAGAGTGGGACAAAATTGCGCGAGAATTGAGGTGCGCGCAAAAGTAGCAGGAAGAGGAGAGTGACGCTAATAAAAGCTAAGCAAAAGTTTCTTTCTATTACCTGGATTTACGGCGTGGCAGTGGTTGAGGAGCGGCAGCCAACAGAGCAGTAGCACCGCTCTCTGCATCTGAAACAAAAACCGCGAAATATTTTGTTTTAACAAATTCTCATTCAACAGCGTCGACCGTCTTCTAATGTAATTGTACGCTGATTAAAATTCGAGGTGGAAACTCGTCAGGTATCAAATTAGACTGCGAAACTCGATGAATTTGTGGTAGCTTTAGTGACAGACAGGAACCATAAGTTAGCTCAGGGAATTTTGGGGAAATATGTGATCACTTTTCCCTAATGTAAGTGTAGCGTGTAGGTGTCTGTATGCGTATTCGTAGGTGTGTGCATGCGTGTGCCTGTCCAAGCTGCGAATACAAGAACAGCGTTGTTTGTGGTTGCTACGGACGGAAGCGCGGATCGCGGGCTTCGAGTCGTTCCGGAACCGCGTGCGTCGCAGTATGTTCTGTAGTTTCCAATATTTAAGAAATTATCCTTGCACTAATTTCGGATCAATCTTAATTTTTTCAGCTCTGCTTCGTTCTCTAAACTTTGGCACTGAAAACAGTGGAGTTCAGGTATCAGAGAGGAACCATAAGTTAGCTCAAGAAACTCTTCAGGGCTATTTTGGGGAAATGAATGTTCAAAATAGGCGAGAACCTTGAGATCAGTTGAGGTCTCCCAATTTTTTCAGTTCTGCTTCGCTTCCTAAACTTTGACACTGAAAACAGTGGAGTTCAGGTATCAGAGAGGAACCATAAGTTAGCTCAAGAAACTCTTCAGGGCTATTTTGGGAAAATGAGTGATCAAAATAGGCGAGAATTTTGAAATCAATTGAGGTCTCCCAATTTTTTCAGTTCTACTTCACTTTTTAAACATTGACATTGAAACTTTGAAAAAGAGAAGAGTGCAGGTATCTCGGTATATTGAAAAAATGGGCTATTTTGGGAAAATGAGTGATCAAAATAGGCGAGAATTTTGAAATCAATTGAGATCTCCCTATTTTTTCAGTTCTACTTCACTTTTTAAACATTGACATTGAAACTTTGAAAAAGAGAAGAGTGCAGGTATCTCGTTATATTGAAAAAATAAGCACTAAAAATGTATCTCAACGAAAATTAACATTTCTTTAATATGAAAAGCTCGAGGATAATAATATTTATTAGCGAAAGTGGGAAAGATGAACAATAATCTCGTAGCTGTTTGTTTGCAAAGTATAACGCTGTAACAGAGAACTTTCCACCGAAAATGTAGCTACCTGCTACATATACCAGAACTGACGAACGTTTGTGCTAATTATGAGGTGTAGGGCGCGATTCTTTTGTTCGTCATTGGTTGGATGTAGAATCTGAGTCAAGACCTTCGTTAAAAGCAAAATAGCAGGAACACGGGTGGTGAACTGTTTCGAAAGACATTGAACGAAACAGCAAGTTAATTGTACACAATGTTACACTAATTGACACATTGAACGAACAAATTTTTTTCATCAACAAATACCACACGACATATGTACGCTACCTTCCAAAAGTTTGGAACCACTGTGCGTTGCAAGTTACACGAAAATTCCCAGAAAAAGCATAGCAACTTCAAGAATTTTCCAACGAATTTTTGTATAATACAAATCAATCGATACGAAATAATTTCCTATCGATCTCCACAATATTGTGACGGTCAACAAATTTTGCAAACCTCTCTCCGGATTTTTCCTCCAAGAGGGCGAGAGAATTGTTCTTTCTTATGATGTGGAGCAAGGAATTAATCCTCGGACTGGTACTTGTCACAATCGCTAACTTAGGTATATTTATTTTTGAATGCATACTTAATATCTACATGACACGAAGTTCCTCGGAACTTCAATTCCGCGTCGAAATGTTTATCTTTTCTCTCCGGAATCGAGAAATAGAATATCTCCACTTTTCGGGACTGCTTCCGGCTCGTTTAAGAGAATTTTCAAGCGAACCCCGGAAAAAGAAAACCACAGATTGCCTTTAACGCTCAAGCATGACAGTCGCTTATATTTTCTGTATTTTTAATCTGTAAGATCTCTTGAGTTAACCCTTTCACTGCTATAGGCGCATCGAAAATTTGTTCGCATTGCGTTATTGGAGCCTCTCGGCGCACTTCCATATCAACTCAAGCCTTAATTTTCTCTTCTACGCTGATTCGATAAAATAAATTTCAAATTTTGCGGCGGTCGTGGAACATCTGAATCTGTCACGCACTCAAATTAACCACAGCGAAAGGGTTAAACATATTCATTTTCGCTTACCTATCCACGTCATTCAATCGTTCGCCCACGACAACGCCAAAGCATGAAATCTCAAATCTATCAAAAATTATTACAGCAGCAAATTCGCAGTATAGACGAAAAATCGGCAATAGTGAACTCGAACTTTTTGCCGACAGTGTGTGTCCATATTTCCACGTGTCCTTTTGCCACTTTGACCGGTCAATTTGGAAAACAGCCTGCACGCGAGCATGCACGCGTGCATCCGTACACACTTCTCGGGTATCCGTTCTAGCGAAAGCAAATGAACTCTGAAACGGAGGCCTGTACGCGTGTACGCACGATCGGTCTCTGCATATAGAGGGGCAACCGTGCGAGCAACGGTTGTACACTGAATTTTCCACGGGTGCAGACTTCTCGTTGTTAAACACTGTGTGCACGGAGGGGTGGGATTCGGCGGGAAAAGAGCCACGCCCTCGGGGATCCTTGGCGGAATAGAGAACGAGTCGGGGAAAGGACGATTTGTCAAATTGATTCCAAACGGCGAACGCCTGGAATTTTAAGTTTGCCTCTTGGCCGGACGGACCGCTCTATAGAGGAGGCACACACTCGAGATTCGCTCGCTGGAACGGGCGAAGCGTCGCGAAAGCGGCGTATGCAAAATTTCGTATGGAAATTTCACAAGTGAACTCGACGGAAGTGTTCATTTTCGAGTGCGGTGTGTGCTGCTTGAAATAATGCGTGCGGCGAATTATGTTGGTGTATAAACACTTACATTTGTGTGATAGAGGAGGATGTTGGGTATTGTACAGGTTGTGCAAACGTTTATTTAGCGGGTGAGTATGTTATTTGCTGACAGGATGTTGAATGGAACGAGAATGATTCATGGATGAATGTAGAGTTGAAATTGTATTCGACGAGTTAAGAGACAGAAACTCGAGGAAGAGACGAAGAAAGAACGTTAGAATCTCTGTTATCAATTTAAAACAACTGTTTGACAACTGTTTCGATATACTTAAAAAAAGAAATTAACTGTAAATTAGCTGGAATATTCTGTCACGTTCCCCTTAACCACTTAACTGTGTTCCCCTTTGAAACAGAAATTGAATCTCTCTAGTTTACAATTAAAAACGAGTAAGAATTACAACCAATTACTTTCTTTTCGTTCTTGCAATTTACCTTCAATGCAATCTCTCGATAAATAAATTATCGTGTTCTAAGTATTGGCTAACCAATGACGAGTTAACTCGTCTTACACAGTTAACAGGTTAAAATCCACATTTCGTCCCGTCAGATTTCTTTTTCACTTCACTTTTGCGAAGTCAAGTTTGACAACAGCAACAACGAAATGAAAGCAAATGAGCAAAAGAATTCTTCACCGCTGGCATAAAGAGAAAACTAATCAACCGATGAGACAAGTGTATAATTGCAGCAGGTAATTACACTGAAAACAGGTAAATCGCGAGACTCTTTGGATAAGTATTAAAACAACAGCCACTTGTCTCTACTTATCCAATAATCCTCGCACCAAAGCACAGCATTCACGCGGACATTTTCATTTACAATTAGCATTTTTCGTCAGCAGTACATACCCACGACAAATGAACAAAATTCACTTCAAACACACTGCACTTCGCCAGGAACGAATCATCTTCCATAACACGTAATACAATGTACACACTTGTTCACGTCGTTACCACCATCGCCCAAAGCTTTACAACGTCGTTATCCAGTTTATTAACGGTGTTGACGTTCGTTAAACTTTTCCCCGCGAAACTTCAGTCGCGGTGTTTCCCGCGCTCGAACGGTTAAGTCGCGCATTATTCACAGGATCCCGCCCCTTCCCTCCTCGCGGCTAATGAATCGAATCCTCGTAATGCTACACGCGCGTGCATATCTTAAAAATACATTTCAGACGGAACGAAACAAGACTTTAATCCGTTTAAACGCCGCGGCCGTAAATATGAATTAAGCAAATGACGTGGAGCTTCATTAAAATTGCTCCATCGATTGGTTCCGAATGTCGGGCCGATCTCGCGCGGCTAAATCCACTTAAAGCCGACAGCGCCGGAGGAAAAGCTGGAGGGTCCATCCGCTGCTATATTTTCGATGGAACACACACAGAGAGAGAGAGATTGGAAGAGAGAGCATTGCTATCCTTACGACACACGCCAATACCATAATCGAAAATTGCTGTACCGGATGCGCTCTTTTATATGGATACTTCCTATCATTCCGGAGGACCTTTACTTCTCGAACGTTTGCTGCACGGCGTGAGATCGTATCACGATGAGGAAGAAAAGGAGGAAAACGAGAGGTATTGTATTTAGGGTTGACCAATGTGCCGTGAAACGACGAGAAGAGGTGGAACATCGAGTAGTCACGAGCTTGGACAGACGTCGCTATCGTTTCGCGTAAAAGGGAATGTTGACATTACCGAACACAATGGAGATCTCTTTGTAAATGTTTTGTCTACTTTGATATCGACCTTGGGTACACCTCGTCTGCAAACACTCGGAACAGCGATATTTTTAGTATCCTCTTCGAGGATTGAATTAAGTAAGAAGAGGGCAGCTGGAACATGCTAATATTTGCACCGACACGAACACCGCGATTTTTTCGTTCGCTGTTTTAGAAGAGAAATCGGACGAGAAGGAGAGGAAACGAGAGAATTTTGCAAATTTCGAATTTGATTGAAATACGTCTTTGACATTTATTAAACAGATGAATTTAATAGAGATTACTTTGGTTAGACAGAGGTTAGAATTGAAAGTAAATTATTTTTAGTTTCTATTTATCAAAGTAGCTACGAGTAAGAGTCTCCGTGAAATATACATATTAAACAGAGGATG